GTCTCTTCCTTCTCACTTCCACACATGGCAGCCCACTCCCACTTGGAGATTTTTAAAAAGTATATTTTTATTGACTACTGAGAGGAAGGAAGAGGGATAGAGAGATAGAGACATCAATGATGAGAGAGAATCATTGATCGGCTGCCTCCTGCACGCCTCCTACTGTGGGAGATCGAACCTGCAACCCAGGCATGTGCCCTTGACTGGATTCAAACCAGGGACCTTTCAGTCCACAGACCAAGGCTCTATCCACTGAGCCAAACCAGCTAGAGCCCCACTTAGAGATTTTTTAAAAAATACATTATTGGTTCTTCCCTTAATATCAGAATGACTGACTCGCTCACCTTCAAATCTTTGCTTAAGTCTCACCTTATCAATAACTACTGACCACCCTGTTTAAAATAAAAATCAACTCTCCTGCCCCTCCCTCAACCCTGGCATTCTTGATTTTCTTTACCCTATTCTTTTTAGCATAGTACCTAATTTACTTATTTATTATGATTATTGTTTATTGTCATTCTTCTCCCACTAGAATATAAGCTCAATTAAAATGGGATCTTTGTTTCTGCAAAGATTTATTCCCTGAGCCTAGACTAGTGCCTGAGAAAAGCATAAGTGTTTGCTGAGTAAGTGAAGGTAGCCTATTTTCAAGGAGAGAGACAAGGTGATAAAATGCAGTGCAATTGATAAATGTGATGATAGAGAGCTGTAGTTATTTTAAAAACAAAAATCAAAAATGTCCTTTTTTGTTAGCATGCACATGGAGACAAACCTGAAGAGATGTTCAGTAAATGGTAACACTAATGCGGGAGTTGGTAATTGTTTGTAAGTTCAACAAGCAGGTTAGATTATCAAGAAAATGGATACCATTCACAATAGAAAGGATAGCATATGATGTGTGAGAAAACAAGCCATATATTGTCTATATATATTACAAAGGAGACTGCAAACAATTTGCATGGGTATATTACAGGAAACCTACAGGGTACAGTCAGCATTGAGGTTGTATGGGTGGAAAGAGGTTAAATTCATCTCAAAGACAATAGGAAATCATTGAAGAGCTCTAAGTAGAGGAAGAATGATCGTATTTGAATTTTTAAATATAATATATATTATAGCATTCAGTAGATAGGAGAAAGGTACTGAGGCTAAGAAGCTATCTATAGGCAATGGAATCAGAGAGCTGAAGGGTGACATCTGAGAAACATTTGAAAGGAGACCCTAGCATAGTTGAGTGACTGATGGCATATGATATGAAATGAACAAGGATCAGTCTAAGATAATTCTGAAATTTTTAGTCTGAGTTACCTGTTGGATTGTGATGCTATTAGCTTTAAATAGAAAAGGAAGATATAAGCAGATTTGAGGAAATGTTTTTTAAAGAAATGTTGAGTTTGTGGTGCTAGAGAACTTCCAAGAGGAGTTATGAGCTAATAAAAATAAATGAATTAACTGGTGGAACTTTAGAAGTCTGGGAGGATAACAATGGAGATTTGAACAGGGTTTGTTAATGACAGTTAAATCACTATGATTAGTGTCCTGGTCCCCACAGAATCTGCAAAGTGATAAGAGAGGTTGGTGCTCTGGGGACAGTTACTGTTTAATATTCCCTGTAAATGGGATATTGAATGAATAATCAATGATTTAGGAAGATAAGATGAAAGCCAGGAAAGGAGGGAATGGCTACATGATTAGACACATGGAGAGGCCATGGGAGACAAGGAATGTTGAGCCCAAGTGTTTGCCCAACTTACTAAAAAAAATTCAGGGGAGCTATGGGGGTGGAAGCCAAACTATAGTGTATTGAGAAGTCTAAGGGATATTCAGAGATGATAATTATAGGTGGTCTTCAAGAAACAATCTGTGAAAGGAAGCATAGGAATAAAGCAGTGATTTAATTTGGACATAGGATAGAGGATAGCTGTTCCTGACCTTGCACAAAGGGGCCCATTCTGTGGGGGGAATAGTAGGAGTTAGGATACAGATAATAGGTAGAGGAATAAGTCCCCACCCCCCAAAAAAGAAGGCATGTTCTCTGAAGTTTAGAGGAAAGGATGGTGGTGTTTATAATTAAATACGTAGGAAAATTAGAGTTTTACGGAATCAATACGTAACTTTCTCCTGCCTTGTTCCCTGAGTTCAGAACCAAATGAAGAATAACACTGAGGCAGAGAGGTGAAACTCAACATGAAAGCTTTATAAATGATGCACGGATTGGAGAATGAGGTATGAGGTAGGGGCACAAGGATTTGGTAATACTCTATCTCTGAATTAGACAGCCATGCAGGGACTGGGCATCTGGATGCCTCCAAAACTCCCCACACAAAATGTGAACCTTTCTGCAGACAGATGGATCTTGAAGAGAGAAAGGGGTTGAGATGGGCATGCCCAGTCCTTCCTGCCATACTAGCCAATCAGTTAATTCAGAAAACATGAGGCCAGTGATCTAGGGAGTCTCCTTTCCACAGACAATTTTGTGAGGTTGAGGGAATTCCCATTTCTATTTATTATTTGAAGCGGAAAGTGAAGTCCTTCTGTGTCTGAGGAAGGTGAGAAAATGGCTAGGAGGGCTGGGGAAGCATAGTGATGTCCACTGTGAGAAATATGAGTGATGCAGGTATATAAGGATCTGTTGAGGGAACCTGAAGTCCAGCTGAGGACAGGGAGTATATAGTTGCAATGGCCCTTTTCCAGAAAGCCTGGCAGATATTGTGTAGGAAATAAATGTTTTAATTTATACTGAACTGAGTTCTTTCATGGGAGTTGAAGTGGTAGCAAAAGAATGCTATATAATAAAAGGATAATATGCAAATATACCAAATGGCAGAACAACCAATCAAAGCGTAATATGCTAATGATATGCTAAGTTTGCTCAACTGCTCGCTATGATGTGCACTAACCACTAGGGGGCAGATGCTCTAACCAGTAGGTTAGCTTGCTGCTGGGGTCTGGCCTGATCAAGACTGACAGAGGTGAGCTGTATATGCCCTGGAGCCCTCCCACAGTCCCTCCCTGGCCCCATCATGCACTGGTGGGGTCCCTTAGCCTGGCCTGCGCCCTCTCGCAATCCAGGACCTCTCAGGGGATGTCGGAGAGCTGGTTTCAGCCTGATACCACAGGCCACTCCCCTTGGGAGGGCACCAGATGTAGGGCTAATGGCTGGGGAGCGCTGCTGCAGCAGCATAAGCCTCTCCCGATCTGGACTGATGGGGCGCAAGCCCGCGACAGGCACAATGGGGCCGGGATGAGCAGAAGCAGCAGGTAGGAGCTGCAGGCAGCATTGGACTGTTGGTTTCGGTCAGATCCCTGCAGGCTCCCCAGAGGGACCCCAACCATGCATGAATTCGTGCACCAGGCCTCTAGTGGTTGAAATAATACATTATGATGTCTAGACTTGTCTTTCAGTTCTCAATTGCTACAAAACAAATAACCACTAAACTTAATGGCTTAAAATAATTATAATTTTCCCAGCCAGCATGGCTCAGTGGTTGAGCATTGACCTATGAACCAGGAGGTCATGGTTTTATTCCCAGTCAGGGCACATGCCTGGGTTGCAGGCTTGATCTCCAGTGTGGGGCATGCAGAATGATGATTCTCTCTCATGATTGATGTTTTTATCTCTCTCTCCTTCTCCCTTCTTCTCTGAAACCAATACAAATATATATATATATATATATATATATATATATATATATATATATATATATATATATATAAATTTATTGTTTTTCTGCCAATAATTCAGGAAGGCCCACCTGAAAAGTTCTTCTATTCAAATGGCATCATGTAGGTCACTCATTTGGCTGCATTCAGCTGGACCTAGGCAGGTCTGGAAGGTCCAAGATTAATCCATGCACATGTCTACCACCCCAACTAGTCTCTCTTTCTCTCACTGCCTCTTCTATTTCCTCCCTCCATCTCTTTCTCCCTCTCTACTTTGTGCCTCATTATTTAATAGTCTAGCTAGCTCCTCAGTAGCATGGAGGTTGGCTTCCCTGGAGAGCACTGAGGCGGGAGCTGCCAGGGCTCTTCAAAGTAAGGTCTGAAATGAGCACGTCACATCTGCACATTCCATTAATTACAAGGCCAGCCCAGATTCAAAGAGAATGATTGAAATGTATCCCCACCCCTTTCTTAGAAGATCAGCTGCATATGTAGAGAGGAGAGCAATTTATCACAGCCTCCTTAGAAGACTGTCTACCAAAATGGGAGTAGGGGAAGAAAACAAATGCAGCCAGGTTCCACAAGTACAAAGAAAAAACCTGGGATGCCACTTGTTCATAGAGGAGGTTAATCATCAGAGTTTACCTTGGCAGTGAAGTTCTTCTTTCCACAGAGGAAACTGGAGTATTTTTTCTATAAGGCAGAATATCTTTTACAGTGTCATGGATTTTCTAGCAAAAATTTGAGGGCTTAGGGAAAAAAGTAATGTGTTTGAAATTTCATTTTGATGTTCAGACTCAGCTCACTCTGAGCAGTAAAAGTAGTTTGGACATGGAAGTGTCACACTAGATTAGGCTCTACTTGGCCTTTTGGGAGATGGTGAAAGTAAGGTTTGCCATGAAAACATGTAAGAATTAGAATCTCACAGGTAAGGTTGCTCTCCCAGAAATACATGAAGTTGGTATAGTAGATGCAGAATATCCTCTTCTTTCCGGGGCTTGCAACCTTTATGGCTGCACTCAACTCCCTTTTGAACCCAGGAGTATTGATTATGGAGGGCTTGTCATGCATGCCATGCTATTGTTCTAGGAACTTTTGGCTCTCCTTTGATTTTCTGACCAGAGTGTATTATTCCACTTTGACCCTCCATGTAATTCCTCTGTCTGTCCCTTAAGGTTTTAGATTCTGCACTGGATATGAGTCTCCATCTCCACCTCCATTCTAGTTCAGAGGAACTTTTTTTTTCATATCTTTTTATTTTAGACCAATTAAATTTTCATCTTTGGGCCTATGAAAAATTGAACTACACATTCGTGGGACTTCCCTTCACCACTTACCTGAGATTATGCCAAGGTCTGGGGGTTATTACAAAGTACCAATGTACTGGTTCTGCTGAAAAGTACATGGTCCCAGCCTCCATGGTCCACTGTGCATTTAAGGAATTTTTAGTAAGATTGTGAGCCCTGATCCTTAGCATCTAGCTTTCCTGGGACACTATGTGGTCATTCACCAAATTTTCATCCCATCATCTAGTATTATAAGTAAGCAGCAGACAGGGAAGCTAGCATGCAGCTGTGTTTCCTACCAACTCTCTCCCAACTCTTTTCTAAGAAAATCTCTTCTAGTTGTTGGGTATCCCTTCTTATCCTACTATTGTTTTTAAAATATTTTTATTAATTTTTAGAAAGAGAGGAAAGGGGAGGAGAGAGAGAGAGAGAGAGAGAGAGAGAGAGAGAGAGAGAGAGACATCAATGTGAGAGTGGAACATTGATTGGCTGCGTCCTGCATGGCCCCTACTGGGGATCGAGTCCTCAGCCTGGGTATGTGTTCTGGGAACTGAACTGGCAACTTTTTGTTTCATGGGACAACACCCAACCAACTGAGCCACACTGGCCAGGGCAAGCTCTACTATTCTTAATGAGCTTAACTTTTTGACTATAAAAGCCAGGTGTCTTGTCACAACTCTTTCTTGGTTTGAGACTGTTGCCTGCTTCAATAAGGGCAAAGGATATGGAAGAGATGGAGAGAGAAATTTTAATTAATAATGCAATAGTCTTCCTGCCACATTTCCCCATCACTCCCAATTAGGGATAATTTCTCCATGTGTCTCTACCTCCCAAAAGGACCACTAGTCCATTAAACAGTCCCATGGAAGTGACTAAGATCATTCAAAAGACTGAGAGAAGACCTTTGGGCTCCTATAATCCTCATCGCTGGTATATGTGTTCATTTCAATAGTGGCCTTCTCTAGAAAATGCCTCATTCTGTTAGTCATTTAAGGAAATTACTCCAATGACATATTTTAATAAAGAAAGAATCGGAGAAAGAATAGGCAGATGAGGGTGGGCAGGGCAGGGTAGGGTTATCTGACTATTATACTTAACTATTGGATAATTCAATATGTTGTAGAATGGGGTTTGTTGATGTGCCCACTTTGGCTCAAATAACAAAAATACTAATATTTAAATATAACTTTACAATATATTAAGCACTTATCTATACACAATTTTAATGGAACAGGGATTCCAAGCTCATTGCTATTCAAAGTAATTTAGTCACCTTTTCTTCCCACTATTACAGAAATCCTATTGAAAAACATAATAGACATAAATTGTTACTTGTCCTTGAACAATACAGACAGTGGAGCTCACTACTGCATGAGGCCGAGTAATTTAAATGTAAAGCTCTAGTTATTCAGAATAATTTTAAAAATATATTTTTATTGATTTCATAGAGGAAGGGAGAGGGTGACAGAGATAGAAACATCAATGATGAGAGAGAATCATTGATTGGCTGCCCCTTGCACACATGCCCCCTACTGGGGACTAAGCCTGCAATCCCAGGCATGTGCCTGACCTAAAATCAAACTTAGGTCGATGCTCAACCACTGAGCTACACCAGCCAGGCAAGAATTTCTGTTTTTAACCGAGCCAATAACTATATCATGCTAAATTCCATTCATTGACTTCAGTGTGGTGCTTAGAAAAAGAGCCAGTCTTTGGATTTAAGCACACATTTATCAAAACTGCAACTTAGCTACTTACTGTGTGTGATTTGGGTCAAATGGCATGGACTTCTGAGTATCCACTGGCTTACCTGTAAATTGCTGATAATCTACTGACCACACAAGATTGTTTTGAGTAATAAAAGAATGGTAAACTATGAACTTTATAGGTAATAGCTCACTTAATCCTCACCCAACAGAGGGTACTTCATGATGCACATGACCAATGGCTCCATGTAATGTACCAGTTTCCCATGAAGGCTCCAAACCACTGCTTGCAATGTGTGTTCGCTTCATGCAGACTTCTCCCCTTTCATGCACTCTTCCCAACCTACTAAAACCATGCAACCAGGTGATCTCATGCTTTACAACTGAGCAACAATCAGGGGTCAATACCCACTGAGTAAGGACCTACCTAATGTTGGTGTAGAGCTCATGTATCAGTTTTGCAGACATTTCCCTGGCTTGGGGGGGTTTCTCTTTATTTCTGAGTTCTGTTAAGATCCGTGTTATTGATTTTATTGATATTTGCCTCAACAGCCTGTTTCTCTTCCTACATCTGGCATCACCATGCATGGCGCCCCATCTTCCCAGTTATTTGTGTCAGAAATAGGGGATCATCTTTGCCTTCGTCCTTAGCCTAAATGCCACATTCCATCAATCTCTAAATTCTATTAACCCACCAGCAAATCATATCTTAGATCTGTCCCCTTCTCTCCATCACCCCTGCCACCTGGTCCAGACTTGAACCAACACTTCCTGGAGTGATTCCAATAGCTTCCCAAATGAATGATGTCAAGTCAACTAAAAAACTTATACAATGAAATTATAACCCAGCCTCTATTTAAGGAAACGGAAGTCTCTGCAATTAATATTTTTACTAATATTTCTACCCCACTGCCCCCTCCTCTTTTTCTTTTTCCTTTTGATTTTAAGCGGTAAGTTTTAAGTTACCTAGGAAATTGACTTATGTAGAACCCGTATTTCCTAAGTGTGCTGAACACAAAAGGGGAAAAATGCAGTGTTTTTATTCAGATTGATGTTTGCAAAAGTTTGTTCCCATGTGTAGATTGTGACATGAGGAGCTTCTCCTTTTTGTTCCAGATGCTTTGAAAAGCCAAGCAAAAGTTCCTTCAAGCCCAGCAGATAATTGTCACAGTGATGCCTATTTGATGACTCCATATTTATTTTAAGAGGAGCTGCATCCCTTTGGGCCTGCCAGGATGAGTTAGCTATGAAATGCATTCCTAAATAGCTAAATGATTCAGTGCAGGATCCCATCTACGGAATTGACTTTGCCATGCGGCTGCGTGTTTCTCTGTTGGAAAGTCTAGCTATTTCGGTTCTGTGCTTTATTTTATAATTCAATATAATTGCGTCTGAATAGGTAATGGAGAGAAACTTTTCCTGCTTCACAAAAGCTATGATACAGCCAAGATGCCATTAAAACTTCACCCAGGTCGTTGAAAAATTCCTCTGATGAGACCTCAGTTATATGGGGTCGATGCATCCAAAAACATTCAGAATTGCACACTGTGATTTGGAAATAGCAGCTATATGCTCTTGAACCGAGAACCCCCCAAGAGGCTACTTACCTCCTTTGCATCAATAAAGTACAACAGTTTCTTATCAGAGGCTGACTTTTGCTTACAGCTAGAAATATGGCTAAACCCAGTTTCTAACCACTTAGCGACTTTGAATAATTCCCAAATTATACTCCCCCCCCTTCAAGGGGAATATGCTTTCACTTAAGTGTTTAATGTTTGGAAAATAATAATTCACACACTTGCACACCTTAGCAGTCTGTTTTCATCAGAGAGAGAGAAAGAGTGACACAGATTGTGCTTTAGCCCTGACCTCCCACTTTCATGGCAAGTGCTCAGGAAATGGGCTTCTTTTTACAGAATAAAGACTTAATCAGCACCTAACCCCATAGTGGCTCAACTGAGCACTTTGCTCAGCAAACAATTGAGGATAAACATGTTGAGAGGACTGGTGATGTAAGGTTGTTTGCTTGCAGCTAAGGACCAGAATACCAACTTAGTTGCCAGACAATTCTCTAGGTGAACTTCATTTGATTTCTACCAAAGAACCCAAAGGTTACAAGTGGACTATGTATGCTACCTATGGCTTGTGTTCTGGGGAGCACGTGATAATGCAGAGAGAAAAAATAACCCTTTCTATTGACAGAATGAGTGATTTGGGTGTGATGAGGGATGCAGCCTGCTGCCAAGGTCAGCTCTGGAGAGAATGAGATCCAGTTTCTAGGTATCCACATGTATATGACCCTGCTTTCTCTCTCATGCTTCTAAAAGTTGGCACACATCTCCTATGTTGTGTACCAACTTTGGGAGAATTGAGAAAATAGTCATTTGAATATTTTTCCCCCTGGAATACTGTGGTTTAGATAAGGTGCCCCATCCACATCATCAAAGAGTGGATTAGGTACCTTTATCCAAAAAGGCCATAAAAGTTTCTGTCCTTTTCCCCCCCGAAGTTCTCCTGCATATTAAATGAGTGTGTATGGCCTTCAGTCTCCCTTGGGAACAGTGAGACCTTTGACCTACCCCTAATTATCTTTCTCCTTAAAAGAGTCAATATCAAGGTAGAAAGGATAAAGGAATAAGGGACCATGGAGAGGGGCATGGCACCAGCAAACAAAGCTTTGCATTTAGTTTTAGTTTTTGAGTGGTGTAGCAGAAGCTTGTGGTTCAGCCAAACAAATGTCCAATGTTTTCATCCACACAACACTTTCTATCAACTGGGGACATCATCATTACTGACATCACCTATTCACTTTCAAAGAACCCTTGATTCAGCCATAGTCACTTTGCTTTCTTCTAGGCCCACAGGGTTTGTACTTGGTCGCCAACTTGGTCTTGCCTCCGCAGCATATTGATGCTTTTAAGGAGTTATTTCCACTGATTTTTCTCTTCTCTTGGGTAAATAACTTTATACATTTTTAATGATTTGTTTAAAATATTGGATTTTCTTCACGATTTTATACATTATCTTCCCAAAATGTTCTAATTTGCCTTAAATTGTGGTACTTAGAATTGGATGAGTACAGTAGGTGTGTTATGACTAGCACAGAGAAAATATCACCATCTCATTTGTTCAAGATATGTATCTATTAATGCAGTTTAAGATCCCATTAGCTCTTTTAGGGGTTGCTCCATCTCATCATAGATACTCATTAAGCCTATTGCCAACTGAAACAAGTATTTTTATCTATGTTCTGCTAAGCCAAGTTGTCCCTGGGCTCTACTGTATAGTTGTTTGTTGGAAGATCCCATAATAACTACTTTTTTCCTGTTAAATTTTAACGTACCAGATTTAATAAAATGCTGCTGTCTGTCAAAACTTTTTACATTTTGGTTTCATCACCAATGAATTTTTTATCTTCCCCCAGTTTC